GATAAATTCTCTTTTTTTTTCTCTCTTGCTTGGTGTTTGTATTTGAAGTTTAAATATTTCCTCTCCTCTCTCTTTCTCTCATCTTTATACCCAAGTCTTCACTGGAGGTCGATGTAATCTAGAATATATTTTGTCAAATAGATTAAATGTGATTATCTTTATTGTATAAATGTAATATAGTCTCTATAATGTAGTATGTATATTAAAAAATAAAAAGGCAAGGCAAATATAAGATAATTCTAAATGTAAATATTTACTATCTTTAAATGGATTTTTAGATAATGTTTTAAATGCAGTAACCCAGGTGACCAGGGGCGGATACAGGATTTAAGTGAGGGAGGGGGGCAAGATTTTTTAGGAACAAAAAAATTCATAATTAGGAACAAAAAATCGCGCTGCAGGCGAACATTTTTTTTGACTGAAAAGACTCAAAAAGAGTCAAAATTAATGACTAAAGACTAAAAAACTAGATTTTTTACTTTTAACACATTATAGTTTATTAAGACAGATATTTTTCCTGTTTTGCACTAGGGTTTCTTCCCTTAAGCATGCTATTGAGAAGCTATTCTGAAAATAGGAACAAAAAATTCCAAATTCAGGGGGTGGCGAATGTCCCTCCGCCCCCCCTGCAGGTGACTAAGTCCTATGTTTAAAGTTCTATGCTGCTGCACCATGAGTTCAATCATTGCATGATCCGCACCAGTACAAGGATATAGGTATAATGATTACTCGTACCAGCCCGTCTAAAATATACTGAACCCAACACTGGCAGGTTGCACTATATATACATATTATGGCAAACGTTGGCAAATTGTTTCTAATTTTAGTGTACCACTAGATTTTGCCTAGAAGGGGCTGATTCATTTTAATGTACTGTCCCGTCTGTTTAATATACTGTACATGGCACGGGAAGTCATAGTACATTTGAATTTCCGAGCCGGGTCAACCTTTCCGGTCCCAGTTTGAACTGTATCGCCCGGACATTAGATAATTAAAGCAGACGCTCAATAGAACTAGCGGGTGCTATGGTTGACGCGCGGCGGTGAGACTTTAGGTTGAATTTACTTTTACTGATGGGTCAGAGGTGGGTGATGGTTGCTCTATCTATGAAAAGGAGTTTACTGTGGTAATTTAAAACGTTTACTCTTTTTATTTATAATGTTCACAACTCTTTTTAGGAAATTTAAATTTATTTAGGTGTGGGTTCACTCAACAAAATCCTTCATATGAACCTTACTTTTTTTTGTAAAAAAAAACATGTTTATTTCTGTTGATGATAATACTGATAAAATTCATGAAAATCACACACAACATATAGATTATTATAGATCAGAAAAAAATGTTTTGTTTAAATCATCTTCAATTTAATTAAAGGAATTGAGTCTTTGCCACAAACTCTGATTTTATAATACCTATATCTTTGTAACCCTATGTCGTAGACCCTAGATATTTCAAACTATGTCTTCTTTAAGATCAAATAACCTAAGTTTAAAATATGAAACGTTTGCATTATCAGACCGTAAAGATATAGAAATTAGAAAATTTAAGTTTGTGGCAAAGACTCAATTCTTTTAAATCTCCTGTTGACTATAATGAAAAATACTGGAAAAAAATTACCAATGTAAACTTTTTTTTTAATAGTTTCAACAATAAATATTTCTTAATCCTGCTTAGGCATAACTCTCTACAGGGCGGCAGCCAAGAAGTTTTCCAATCACCAAGTATATTAACCCAAAGATGAACATCATGAATTCTGAAATAAATCAGCATTTGACAGAATAGTTACTCTTGAGTTGTGTCAGTCAAGTCTAAACCCTTTGTACTAGTGCTAATTAAAGTAATAACTAGTATAAATAATATTCTGTGCAAGAGAAGAACATTAATTAGTATCGAAAACTAAGGTAGCACCTTTTTTCATGTCATTTTAAAAAGAAATTAGGATTATAAATGATTTAGAAGTTTTACTTCAAGTTAATTGTGACATTTTTAAAATTGTCACATATATAGATAAACTAAAATGTATGTTTCTCTCAAAAAGTGTTAAACACCTTCAAACTTTTACATCCTGATCTCTAAATGTTTAAATTACTGTCTTGGCATAGCAACGAAAAATACAGTTTGTTTTATACCATGCATTTCAACATACTCCCAGACCCAGACGTCTATATCTTTGTAACCTACTTTCTATCTAAAGTTCAACTTAGTCAACTTGGCTGCGCGCCAGACCAATCCTTCACCAGTTTTTAACCATGAAACCATTTTTATCGACCAATAACAGACCAAAATTTGATGTACACTCGTTTATTTATCCCATGAAACCATATATGTCAAGGAATTTCAGTATCTATAGTATGTTAGCCTTTATATATTTGTGCGCAAGTGTAACCTCTTGTGATTTTTCTAGTATAAAAGCTTTGTAAACTTTGTATATTGTCACTCTATTCTCTACCTTTGTGAAATACATTCTGACAGATAAAAGTAAGTTTTTTTAAAGGGAGTGTTCGCGAAAAATGAAAGGGGGTATAGGCTTAATGCGATAAAAAAGCGCTTTTTTATCGCATTAAGCCTATACCCCCTTTCATTTTTCGCGAACACTCCCTTTAATAGTTCTACTTATAGAGTCTATAACCAGAAAGTGTCCATCTTTGAGAGTGTTGAACAAAGAATGTTACAGTATTGTAAATCAAATCTCTAGAAACATATCCTTGAAATATTAGCGAAAAATCAGAGTTTTTAAGCTCTCCGCATTGCTTAGACTTTGCGTTGCTATTGTCTTTACAAAGACAGTTTTTGGGAAAAGTTTCAGAGTAACAACATATGGACATTTAAGCCTAAAACATACAAAGGAATTGAGTTTTTGTCACAAACTCAAACTTTCTAATCCCTATATCTGTGCAACATTGGGTTTCAAAGATATAGAAATTAGAAAACAAGAGTTTGTTGCAAGAACTCATTTCCTTTACATCACTCTAAAATTTGGACTCTTTCTGATTATATAAGATATATTAAAGCTTCATTTCTAGTAAAATATAACACCCACCAAAAAACCTAGTTTAAACCTATTTTAAAGGCCGGAACTGTCAAATGACCCTCCCCATATCATTATTCATGTTTATCATTTAGAAAACTGATTTTTTATATTGTGGTTTCTCTGCAGAAGTGAATTGCGCATTTTTAATACAGGAAAAAATAAAGAAATTATCAGTTTTAAACCTATAAAAACAACAATATTTCCCACATTATTGATCAGATAAAAGTTTCAAGGGTATCATTGTAAATTGGACATTACCAACTTTGAATGAAGGATCACTTAAAACTACGCTAACAGTCCCTTACATAAGGCATTTTTTTGTTTGTTTATGAAAGTTATTATTGAGCCTCCAAACCAAAGACCCAGTCTCCACAGATGACAGAAGGTCGTGTAAGCTCTGTAATGTTAAACTTCATGTTTAATTTTTACAAACCTTTCCGGTCAGTTCATCTATCTCTTTGCTCATATATATAGCTGCAGCCAAACGGCTGGACCGAGTTGGCTGATTTTTTTAGGGACCCCATGGGTACCCTGGGGGTTAACATAGGCAAAAAATTGATTTTTTTTAAATCGAAATATTTTTCTTCTTTAAAATTCTATTTTTTATTATTTCTAAACTCCAGCTAGTTCTGAATTAAAACATATGATGTGCAATTCAACACAATATTACCATAAGAGTTCTGTGTATGCCTTTTTTATATAATAGAACTCAGACTTGATTTACCTACCTCCTGTTTCCTAAACTTCTTTATTTATAAATCCCAGGAGGAAAACATCTGTTTGGAATCTCTGAGAGAGTATCCGACAAACATATGTCAAGTAAAACTGGGACTGAGTGGGAACGTTCATATTTTTTTCAAAACGTTTGTTAGTTAAAAACGTTTGTTAGTCTAAAACGTTCAAAAGACCAACTTTTAGATATCCGTAATAACTAAACGTTCCTTTCAGTTAAAGGTATCTTTCATTTTTTTAAAAGTTCCAGTTTACTAATCATCTCAATCTTAGTAACAATGTTAACAATTGGTGTATCCATTAAGGAAAATAACAGCTAAATTTATCAAACCTAATTTTATTTAGAACCTCACATGGCCCAGTGAAGAATTTACAATATTGGAGGTGTTCTTTATGCATGAACTGCCTGAATAAAAATTGTTTAAATATCTTTATATTTATATTACATTACTTGCTTTTTGTCATTTAGGTTAAAACTCAAAATTATGGTGTGTACCTAAAAAATAATATTTGTGAACAAAGGTGTATGTTAAAGTATGGTAAATTATAGTTATCCCTTGATTATATTTTGAAACACAGTATATGAATGCAAAGTGATGTTCTTGTTTTTCCTTAACTAATTTATTAGTATAAAGAAAATATTATAATCAATGATATACATTTAACATATTATGTTTTTCAAACAACAACATAAGAAGGGTAATTAGAGTGTCCGGATACACACAATATTATGAACAGGAATTATTTCCTATAGCCCCCTCTCCCTGTCTACAAACAATTACATTATATTTTGATACATGTATCTTTAACAGACCTTAACGATCATTAACTCCTACCTCTGTTAACAATACAACTAGTTTGAAAAAAAAACTACTAGATAGTTTTTTATGTAAAAAAGATCCTTTTTAAAAATGATCTGGTTCTGTTGTTTTTCTTCGTTAAAGTAAAGATCTTGAAAAACTGTCCATCCCGAAGTGGGACAAATTCTAATCTAAGCAATACAGACAATTTAATTTAAGGCATCAGGTAATTCAAGTAAGCCTGTAGCACATCCCCCAAAAAATGAAATTTTATTAGCAAAATTTGCATTAGGCTAAATAATTTAATTAATATTTGTGACCAGATGATAACTGAATTTTTAAATTAAACAAGTCACTAAAAACAGTTTTAAAATTGTTTAAAAAGTTTTAATATTGGAGCTCTCTGAAAATGTACTTCAAGTAACTTTCATTTTAAGTTCTTTCAAAGTATATATATTTAATTCCAATAGTGACAGTTATTTATTCAAAGGTGTTTACAATAGTTTTTGATGTTTAAATGTTCAACTCCTCTTTAAGATGATCAGCAGCCAACAAGTTGTCCAATCACCAAATATAAGAATCCAGTAAAAGCAAAGAGAAATTCTTAAATAATAAAAAAATACTTAGATTCATTTTCTTTTAAGAAAAGTTTATTATACAATTTTTCATTTGATTTATTGAGTTTTATGAATTATGTGCTTCACCTATAAAAGTTATGATTGAACCTCCAAACCAAAATCCCAGAACACCTCCAACTTCAGACAAAACATCATCTAGGCTCTTCATGGTTAAAAAATATTTGGTTAATGGTGACTGATAACAGCAATGATTTTTTTTTGATGCAAAAACATAAGATAAGAGCTAAGTAGTTTGAACTAAGTAATTCTTATTCTTTCAGTCTATGTACATGAATACTGTAACAGATTTTTTATTTTTTAGCAACTTATTACATATATATATTTGCTTTTGTAACACATAAACTCAATCTAGTTAATATATTTATACATATATACAATAAATTAAATTATTATCATACGAAGATTCTCAACTACCAGATGTCTCACAAAACATGGCGTTGAAAGACAACTTAAAGATCTACTTTGATCTTTGATATGATTCATGGCATGCATTTATTTGTTTACTTTTGCGAATATGATACTTGAAAGAAAAATCCTTTAGCAAATTATCTGAGTTATAATTAGACTTTCATTTAGATTTAGAATATTTTAAAATCTACAGCAATTTTTAAAGCACGCAATTGCAAACCACATTTGCCAGGACTAGTCTGATTAGTGAAGTTTTGTGATTATTGTTACCAGAATTATTGTTACAGAAAAAAATAATGAAAGAAAGCGGCAAACTGTTTAAAAATCAAAGACAAACTTCAACTAGTTTTTAAAGGGAGTGACAGGAAATGTATGGTGCAGGTTGAACTGAATATGTAGTATTGTTGACAATTCTTTTAGGATTCATTTGAGGCATATAAAATTATTCTACGTCATATATTCACTGAGTTTGATTGCAAAGTCGACTTTCAAATTCATCCGTTTGAGTGGGTACGTTTTGAGAATCTTTTTTTTTAAACGTAAAAATCGTAAAAAAATCTACAGTAAACTAATTATTTGTTTAGTCCACAATACTACATATTCAGTTCAACCACCACACATTGCCAGTCACTCCCTTTAAACTGTTATGTTTAGTGAGACACCCTGTAGTTATATTTTTCCTACCTGTCCATTAAACTTAATTACAGTGTGATCCATTCCCTCAACAAATAGTGTTAACATGACCAATGTTACATTACGCTGAACCACACTGTTTACTAACTTTGTTATTTCCTAAAGATTGTAAAAATCAAAATATGCAAGGTGATTTATAAAAGCCGTTTTTTTAATGTTCACCAAAACAAAACAAGGTGCAACAAAAAGATAATTTAAATATTTATTAATTTGTTATTACATGATATTTGATAAAGAAATTTATCATTTCAAGAATTGTTAATCTTTCTCTGCTTAAGGAGGCTCTCAAACAGCTTTAAAACTTAGAACCTGATATTTGGCTAATTTGACTTTTTTTACATCACATGGAGGACAAATTTAATATTTAAAAGCTGGAATTGTTTCCTACGAGATTCTCTCATAAATGTAGAGTCCTTCAAAGATATTACAACTGAGCCCGCGATTTAAAAACATTGGGAAAATTCAGCTCAGGTCTAAACTGTCGTTGGACCTCATTTACAGCTTGAGCTTTCGGATTCAAGCTGCATCTTATTTTGCACAAAGTTGAGTTAAAAAACCCCTATTCTAATATTCTATTTGGCGAATTTTCATGGTAGGAATTGGTGCATTGCAGGTTTTTATGAGAACAAGATTCAACATTGAGCCTTATTCTCCACTAAAACCAACCAAGGTCGGTTTTATTTTTTAACTCCTGAAGTCGAGCCGAAGATCTTGCAGCTGTCAATCCTGTGACACAATCTGGAGTCAGAGTTGGGTCTAAGATTGGGCCTTAGAGTCGGGTTTAAGGAATTACGGCGAAGTTTTAAACTCACACACTGCGGTCAAAATCCATAATTAAGAATTTTAAAAAAAATTTAGGAATAAAATGGAGAAAAATGTCAAAAAAAAACGCCATATTTTTTACAATATTAGACCTGTTTAAGGGAGACCTGTAATCTGTTTTTATGTGTATAGCTATTGTTGCTTTGTGAATTATAAAACGTCAGACATTGGGAGATTTTCTTAGTCAATATTGCAGATTTATTCAATCAATTAAGCACAAATGAAAAAAAAACTTTTAAAATCACCCTGTATGGTTCATTAGATATATGAAACTTGAACCTGTCCAATTCGTCCAATGGCTTCTCAAACACTGAAGTTATTTTTAGCAAATTGGGATTTATTTTAATATTATTTCGAATTACAGTATTAAGTCACTATAGTTATTTAACTGTGTTGCAAGGCAAAGATGATCTAGATGATATATCAGATTATTTTGTTTATATAAAAGACTGAGAGCTATGTAAACTTAAAGTAAAACCTACAAGAATCAAATTTCTATTAGGAAGGATATAAGCGTATAGAGGAATTGATCCAGATGAGGGCTCTTCCTATTTCCCCATAGCAATTTTTAGTGTGAATATATGTAAATATGTAAAGTGTTTATCTATAGTGGAAAGAAATAATATTTAAAACAATTTTTAACGCTCATCAAAATATCTGATAACTTTTCAAAACTTTAAAAATATTTAAAAACTTTTCTAATATTTTCATTTTTAGTAAACTTTAAAAATTTAAATATCTTTAAGGTATATAAATATACTGAGCAGATCCAGTAAGATTTATTGTAACTGCCTATTATTAAGCTAAAGATATAGGGAGATATTAATGAATAGCATAAGGAGGAGATTCTGGCCTAACCTATGTATAATAATCAAATACGCTCTCGGTACAGGTCCTGCACTGTACATTATAGTAAAGGATTAGCGTACATTATCTCTCTATAAACTGCAGTAATGACTGCACATACAGTTAAACCCTAAAGAAGCCATACATCGAAAGAATTCATCAAAAGACTTATTCTTCACTTTCTGATAATGGAATGTTGCAGATATTTAGCTTTTTAATTAAATGATTATATGGAGCTCTTTAAAACTGTTCCTGCATATTCATGGCTATTTATTTATTTTCGCAAATGCTAAGATTTACATAAATAGTATAAAACCCATTGAAAAATTGTCAATACAACATTTGATAAATTCTTTCGATGTATATAGCTCATTTAGGATTTAACTGTATCATACCGGTGTAATAACAGATGATGATATCTCAACCCTAAATTTCTCTTCTATACAATCTAACAGGCATGTTCTATCAGTTGTTCTGCTCTTGTTTCTACAGAATCATTTTTGGTATTAGTTCTTTTTCAGCAAGAATAAAAATCTTTGAAATGATTCAAATTTATAAAAAAGTTTTTTAAGTATATGAAAACAGCAAAGAGGGTTTAACAACAATTTATATGCTGATCAGATAATATGGTCAATAAAGTTTATAAGTTCTTGCATCTGAATTTTTTTATCTTAAATTTGTTTAGTATTCGGAACAACAAGTTTTTATTTTAAAGATTTATCTTAAAGTTAAAATAAATGAAAACTTCCTTCTTTTATTTCTATTTCATTTTTTTCAACTGTTTGCACATAAAAAAATTAACCTGCACTAAATAGGCTAATTTTCATAACAATTTTAAACTTGATTCCATTTCATTAAGACAAAAACTTTTAGTGCTACTATTAATTATTACATGCATTAAAGTTTATTTAGTAACCTGTATATCTGTAGATCGTAGTATTTAATGTATTCTAGTGGTGTACAGTTTTCCTTGGGAACTCCATTGGGTTGTGGGAGGATGGGAATCGTGCAGTTTAAAACACTGATCAAATGAAATTTAGGATTAATATCCCATTGAAATGATTATAGTACTCTGAACAGTAGTGTGTGTGATAGAAATAAAAAGTTTATTAACCAAACTTAAATCATTTTGTGTATAGGTTTCATAGTATTCTCAAGATAAAACCACCCAATTAACATTAACTGAAACATATACGTACAATTACAAAATGAAATAGTAGATAAAACTTTCGTTGGTAATTATTTCTATGTCACAATATAACAGCCCTTATTAGCGTTAAACGGAATAAAAGTCCCCTTTGCTCTATCTTGTTACTAGAAATGTATCCTGAGCTGAAAACTTTAGAATGGTGGATATCGGGATTAATGCTTAATCCACTCTTTTTCTTAATCTCCAGATTAAATATTGCTTGTTCTCCTCTCATTTTTAATCTTCAGATTAATTATCCGATCAAGATTAAGGATATCACATTCTAAAGTTTTCAGCTCAGATTTTGAAAGTAAATAGTCTACAGGTACGATGTGATATCTATGAACATTTTAAGGTTTACTGTAGCGAAGTACAAAGTTTTAAGCTATCTAATTAAAAGGTTTATCAATGGGATTTTCAGTCTGCAGTATACACTGATTACGACTGTAGTGTATAATATATAATTAAATGTTTAAATAAAAATTAAGCCTGCTGTATGATAACTGCTTGTTGTGAAGAAAACATTGATCCGCAGAGTAGTGCTCACTATATGGACTTACTATGTAGAAAACAATTTTTTGTGAAATGGATGATAACTTTTAACAAAAGATAAACATTCCATGTACAAGACTGACTACATTTATTTACCACTTTTATTACTCTATTGTGTAAAAAATCTAGTACTTATTTGAGTAATATCCCCTTCTGAGTTTTTTCTCAAACAGATTTAAACTTTTCATAAATATTTCTCAACAAGACTTGGATCACCCCCGCCAGTTATAACAAATAATAAATTGATCCAATAACAAATGGATTCAACAAAAATTTGGTTGAATAGAATATAGATCAGATAATGAATGAATCAGTTTAATTGGAATGGTGAGAAAGCAAATGGGTCAAGTGACAAGATATGGGTCAGGTGACAAATAAATAAGATCAGGCGCGCAACTAGACATTCAGCAAGGGGAGCTGGGGGGGGCAAAGAACAAATAGTTTGAGTGTAGCACGAAAAAAAAATTGTTGCCCCCCCTAAACATTTCTAGGGGGGGGGGGGTTAGAAAAATACCATTACACTCAAAAAAAGAATCTTTACCAATTCACATTATTTTGGGGGTAAATTGGGTAAATTTTTTCAGTTTGAGCAAATTTGTGTGAGAAAAATCTTAAATCCATATTTTAGGGCATTTTTCATTAAGGGGAAATCCTAAATCTTTGTTTTGGAGGCAAATTTTGTTTTGAGGGGGCTTTTTTCAGTTTAGGCAATTTTGTGTATGGAAAATCTTAAATATTTATTTCGGGGGCAAATTTTTTCATTTATGTGCATTTTCAAAATATATTTTAGTATTTAAAGAATGGTATAATATTTAGAGTTTATGATCAGAAACTAAAACCCCTCACCCCTTTCTCTAAGCCTGTGCGGAGTAGAGAACCGGAGAAAAGGATTAGTGCACCCAGGATCATTTAACAGTACAGACGTAGAGATAATTCTCCGTTTGTACAACAAAGCCTTGGGGAACTGAACTATTGGACTGCTATCATACTGATATATCTAAATCATGCCTACCAGGGAACTGAGGAGGACACTGGCCTCCTTCCACATCATTATGCAGGAATATGCATCCTCGGATTTCTCAGTATCATCAAGAGATTTATCTCCTATAGTTTTTGGAACTAGACCAATTGCTCTTGTACCAGCCCGTCTAAACTACCTATAAGGATACAGAGGAGAACTAGGATACCAGGATACCAGGGATAACAGATGCAGTACATCAGAGGCTGCTCTATACTCTCTAGTGTACGGAGACGCCACTCATTGTAAAACAGCTCTTCCTGGACCTGTTGTGGAACCAGCAGCAGAACCAGACGATTCCCCCCCCCCCTCCAAATTCTAAAAAGATATAAAAATAGAAATAAAAGGAAAAGGAAAGGAAAGGATAAGGAAAGTTACATATTTTAATATAAACTGGAGGTGGATTGTTAGTATTTTTCGACGATGAACAAACAACTTTTAGAAATAAAAATCTTATATTTATTTGTAATGTTAAAAAAAAGTAAAAAAGGCTTTATGGAGTGTGAAAGAGATATAGGTTCTAACGAAAACGGGCATTTTTTATCATCTTTTTAATTTGCGTCGTTTTTTGACATTTTTTTGTTTGATTATATCTTTAACTCTTTTTAGTCTTTTTATTCTTTTCTTTGTAAAGTCGTCTTTGCTTTCTTCGATTCTTTTGCAAACATAGCATGTGTTAGAATTAAAACACTCGTTCATCTGATAAAAATCTTCTATTACATTCTGTTTAAAATTCGACATAAGATTGACATTTGAAAGCTTAGAAAAGTGTCGTTTATTTTCATACCATATTTTAGGGAAATTGTAAGGGGGAGTAGTCCAATTTTAATAGATTTTATTCTAGGAATATAAAAATCATTTCTGTTTCTAAGATTTGCGTTTTTGATATTTTTTGATAGCATAAAATCTTTCTTAAATGTTGGGGGTAATTGATCTCCTTTTAATTGAAATAAAAATGTTATGACATTAAACATTTCTAATTTTCTGACGAGGAGTATATGTTTAAAGCCCAAAAAGCTTCCGCTGTATGACTTATTCTAGGTAACCCACATCAAAAGACGGATAGCTTTCTTTTGCGATGACTCTATCTTATCAATATTTTTGTTTGCAGTTAGCATTAGGAATGTTGAACTAAATTCTAAATGAGAGTGAAATTATATATGAGGTTTTTAATACTTAGAATTTCAAATTTTAAATATACCTGTTTAGTGTTCAGTGTTTTAAAAATACATATACTTTTGAGTTGAGATATGTACTTTAATGTAACAAGTGAATTATTTGAACACAAGTAAACCTTCCAGTAAACATCAGGTTAGACTTTTGATTTTTATAAATTGTTTCCTAAATCCATGTGGAAACTCTCATTTTCTTCATCCACACAACCATTCTTATTTTTCATAATCAATCCTAAATATTTAATGTTGGTTCTTATTTAAATCTACAATAAATAATTATTTAAAATGTTACCTTGTTTTTGGGCTGTTCGATCTATAACAGTTTTGGTAATCATAACATCATTGTTTGAATCAGGGGACAAGAGCTTAAAAATAAAAAATAAAACATAGTCCAATTTTGTAAAATAACAAATTCCATGTTTTAGCAGAATTACCTTAACACCTGCTTGCACTGCAGAGTAAACGCTTGATTTCTGAATATAAAATATTCTTAATTGCAAGAAACAGTAAAAATCCAAATTGACTTTATCTAACCTTCACTGTGACTTTTACATAAATTGTCTTATTATTAAAAGGTTGAAAATAGAATATTATTCTGCTTGCCTTTGGGATTACTGCTATGCCAACTCCAGAATATTTAATGGCTTTCCAGCTTGCAAGCTCTAGAAGATTGTAAAAGTATTAGTTTCAAAGAGAAAGGAAACTAAAAGAGTCTCATAATCCCCTCAGATTCGAAGTACAAAACATTAAAATATAGATAACTCTGAAAGTTAGTCATCAAGCCAATGCATATGCATGTGCTTCTTTCTAGCTAAAGTTTAAAAGAAGTAATTGACAAAATACTGCTAGATTTTAGTGTGAGAGAATGCACATTTAGGTTTGCAGTGACAACAGCCCAAGATTTAAGATCTTTTCTTTGTATAATTATACCAGTGTGTTAATTTTGCTATTGGCTGTTGGATTGTGTATCTGAGGAAGTTATGAGATAAGCTTTATCTCTTCATTTCCTTTCTCTATATGATTAATTTTATTGATTTGGGTTGCATTATAAAAACTAAGAAGATTTATGATATTTGTATATATTTGTCAATACCTGGTACAAATGTATTGCTACTTCTCTTAGCATTCACAAATAAGGTTATTCCGGACATACGATTGCCAAAACGGATATTGTAATCTTCTCGCATACTATAGCACTGTACAGAGTTTTATAAATGACTTATAATGCAATAGAGTAACTTTTTAAAGTATTTATGAGAATCTAGACAACATAACAAATTCCTGAAAGACAAAATCTAGAAAGGGAAACTAATTTTTCATGTCTGCCTAAAGACTATATAACTATCTACATAGTTATGGCCTGAAGTGGCACTGAAGGCCTAACCAAAGGTTTCCAAAGCAGGATTGCTCAATTTTTGCCTTAATTTTTATTATGATGGGCCAGGGGAACTCATTAAGAAAGATAAAGTCTATATTGGTTTTTAGCAAAGTTACAAAAAGAAGCATACCTTAAAATCCATAGTGTATTCTCCTGGGGTTGGGTTTCAAATTTGATAAATGTATTCTTAAAGTACATCAAACATTAAAAATGGTAAACTTTGACTTTTGTTCGAGAAAAAATGAGTTGTCTATTGATTAATAATTTTCAATAGCAGTTTTCTATGCTCAACCCGCAACCGGCAAACTTAGTATTCAGTGCCGGGCCTAAAGTTGTCAAGGATTCAGGCTGAAACTTTTATGTGTAGCAAAGGCAATGTTGGAAATTTACAGGATTAATTTCTATTTAAAAAAAAAGATTATATTTCTTACCGTTAAATAGATAATTACATTGTGAATCGGGTATGCAACTCCAAAATAAGTTTAAAAGTGTAACTAATATTGAAAATAAAACCCTAATCTTCATTTTTTTTGTTCTTTAAAATCCCTCCTTCATTGAAGAATTTAGCACAGCAGTTTCCAGAAACAGGAGCAAATCCTATCATCAAAAGTTTTATTTTATTTTATTATATTAAAGTCTTAAAAAGCAGTTTTTTGAATGAATTTAATCAATGTTTGGTTTGGTACCTGCCTGACAACCAACTATAAGTTCATCACAATTCTATTATTAAGTAAGGAACAATAAGAATACTATAAAACAACTTAATATGCTTCAGCCCACCCTAAACTAAGCTTTCAGTGATCAATATTCTCTGTCAAATAATCATTCAGAGGTCAAATTGATAGAATTTGAGCCGCTGCTTAAATTTGAGACGCAGCTCAAATTGTATTAAATGTTTCTAAATTTAAGACGGCCTTCTATTGAAACCGGTTTTTGGCGGATTTGAGACAAGGCTCAAATTCATTAAATTCGTACTCAGAAAACTTCATGTTATGTTAATACAAAAGATAAAAGTCACAGCTTATTGTTTCCTTAGTAACAGCATCCAGAAGCTTGATTGTATCATTGTTAAACCTAGCTAGAGTCTCAATAAACTCTACATCAAGCTCTTCAGTGCGGTTTTCAATCAATTCAATGTGATCTTAATAAAGAAACAAGATTAACTTATTGCATTGAGGTTGAGGTCATCAAGAAAACTAGCGTTAATAGATCGAGTGTTAAACAATAACCTGTTGACACATAAACATAATTAGAAAGATATGCTAACATTGTCTCACTAACATTTGCCTCTTGTGCCTAAAAAAAATAAGCATGTTGTTTGTTGTTCATGCGTCTTCTTTTTGTTCTGGGGAACAATGCAAAATATCATGAACTCTGTTATATACTGCTTGCACATGAGAGTTGAACCATCATTAATTTTCAGACTGGGGCGGAAGGGGATGTTGTTCATGCAAAAAATAAACATATTCTTACTTTTTTCTGACTGAATGGATTTGGATCACAGACTGCAAAGTTAGGGAAAAGTTGTCCATTCTTTAAGTCTCCTTCTTGAATGACAATCTCTGTGGTATATTTGGGATCTCTTATCTCAGCCTTCAAATTATTGTTTTCATGTCTTTGCTGGCTAAATGAGAAAAAGAAGGAAAATAGTAATATGTTTGTAGGCTTTCGAAATTTTCCAATTCAAAAAAATAAATTTGATACTTTATCTTGCCTGGATGATATAGACTGACATTGTAAAAGCATAAAAGAGGAGAGAATTTGAGAGGATAAACCAAATAATCTTTTTTCCAAGTCCTGGTTCATCTAGGATCCAATGGAACCCATGAGCTGATGTTGTAGACCAAAGAGTACGGATATACTTATCACTTAATAGAGGAGGTAAGAATTAGATATTTTTTTGTATTTAATACCAACACAAGGGCGTACACAGGGGGGGGTCAAAGATGCTGTGTTACCCATCCCCCTAGATTTTTTTACTTCTAGCATTCTACATAATCTTTTTATTTCAATTGTATTCATACAATATTCAATTTTAAAGAGAAAATGTCATTTGTTTTAGAAAAACTAGGTATTCAGTGTGTCTTTTTTAGTAACAATTTTAGCTGTTAACCATTGATTCAAAAGCTACCATCTTTCTTTGAAAATTATGTTTGGTGGATTTTTCTGTTTAAATTTGCGCCTTTTAAAGGGAGTGACCGGCAATGTATGGTAGATGAACTGAGACTGTAGTACTGTGGAGAAATTTTTTAGGAATAATTTGAGACCTATGAGAAGTTTTAACGGTGCATATTTGTTCAGCAAGATCGCAAATTCACTCTTTAAAATCCTCATAGATTTTTTTCATTTTTGAGGGATGATTTTGAGAATTGGTTTTTAAAAACTTATTAAAAAAACAATAACAAAAAACGTAGTATATATTCTACAGTAAACTTAATAGTTGTTCAGAAACAGGTTTAAAGAATAAAAATTAAATATCATCATCGAAAATAAGTAATATTATTCAGTATATTGGTTTCTGTGATCTGTGATTGTTTTTTTGTTCCCAATCATTTTCTGTACAGTGATCGGCGATTGTATCAATAAAATGAAGACGACTTTTTATTTAAGTTTTGAATGCTAACAAGCTCTTTTCGAATTACAAGTTTGCTCAGTTTAAAAGTAATCAAAGAGAATTTTTTTTAGTTGACAACTTTTTTTCAATGTTTATGTGTATCCATGCTGTTTAAAGGTTTGATATAAATCAAAACTTTTTATTGCATTGATATATGTGACGACGATCGATTCTAACACAGATTTATTGAGAAAATTTCAATTGAGTAATATGTTCCTAAATTATTGGGTGCAATCTACGACAATTCCAGATGTAAATCCTAGGGATTTCAAGATCAATGCTTTGTTCCCATAGGTAAGGCTTGTACAAATATTTCAGTCTACATCCCAGTACTTTTTACAGCTCTTTCTCTAGATATCTCTCAGAGTATAAATAAATGGGATTTATCATCTTCATAGGTTTATTTGTTAAGTACATCTGTATAAGTTTAATCAGTTCCTTTGATATCCGGAAAACTGGGGTTCAGTTGCTCCAGTTCAGGACATGTCTGAGCCACTTCCTCAACCTTGAATGTCTTGTTCAGCTGCTCCGGATCATAATCTATCTGAGCAGCTTCCTCAACTACACTATCTCGTTCAGCTGCTCTGGTTCAGGAGAAACTTCTACTATATTCCCAACTGCTCCTTTTACCTCGGGAGCTGCTTTTAGAGTCTCAGCTATGTTAGCTGTTCTTATCAATATGATATGCTTCTACTGTGTTCCCAGGTGCTTCCCTTGCAACCAGTTTGTGAAGAGCTGTTCTACTCAGAATCCTTTGGAGTAGAACAGTTTCTGTTGCCCTTGACTCAAGGACAATAGGGGAAGTGGCCTCTAATCCCCCATTCTGAATGCATTCCCCATGGGTATGTATCGGAATTCATCACTACTCTTCCTCCTCGTCTGAAGATAGTTCCACAACTTGATCTGCTTTATTCTCAGGTTCCTCTTCAGGATTGTGTGCTTCATCCTCTTGTTGTTGGAGATGTACTTCTACTCCTTCTGATTCACCATAAGGTAGTAAGTCTAAATCAAATTGTTCTTGCACTTTTGGACTAAACTGCAGGTCAACCTTCTAGTGAATGTACTTATCTTTTATTTACAGTCCAGGTTCTCAAAAGATAGATAATATTGTAACAGTGGGTGATTCTGTTGATCTTTTACGATCAGCGATCCAAGGATTTGTTGGATCGCTGAGATCATAGCTACCTAGGGGAATCATGCCCACTCCCCCCCCCCCCATCTTTTACCCTACGGTTGGACTTTTGAATCCTATTTTGAATCCTAACGGATTTATTTGAGTTTGCATGTGGATTCTATAAATAACCCAAGCGACGCCGAGTTTTCCGTTATCTTGAAGACCCAAGCGTTGGGGAGGGGACGGACCAACCACGGGGTAGCTAGGGTTAAATGCGAACTGAGGATGGAGCGAAATTGAGGGAAAAGAGTTAGTTGAAGACCAGCTCCCTAATTGTTAGGTTCCCTTGAAGATTCCCCTTATGCTGTAACTGTTCGATTGATAATATTTTGATTAGTATAGTATCGACCAATTTGAAGTTTGTATTTTTTGTATCTCTTGTATATAAAAATAAATTGTAAGAAAAACCGACTCGTTGAATATTTAGAAGAATTAGTGTATTGCATTATTGATTTTCTTTCATATACAATATGGTGACAAGTTCAAAAATTGGAAGCCCAAATAGCAACACTAGTTTTTTCTAATATTCGGCGAAATAGTTTTCTAGAATTTCGGGTCACCCTACCGAAAGCTAGAGTACTATCAGTAAGCTTGCGCAAACTGCGGCATTAAAAATAGATGCCAACTTATCCTACTGCACAGTTAACCGTTACTTTTCAAATTGTGAGCATTTAGCTTAGATTCAAGGTAAAATAATTTAATTTTCCCACTTTATAATAATTTTATAAGTATGGCGAAATATTTTTATCAAGCTTTAATATTATATTTCGACAGACAATGGTAGTTAATTTGACGCGAGTTAGAATAACATGTTAGGATTTCGAACGGACAAAATGTTTTTAAATTTCAAATTATTGTCCAAAACTGCTCCATTCTCATTTTTTAGGATGGATAACGATGCCCCTGAACAAAGGGGACCTGGGGTTAAACCAGATTGGTTCCTAGGTTGGCTAAGAGAAGTGTTCCTACCAGTGTCCCGCGATCCGTTAGCATCGCAAATTGAGCAGTTTGAGAATGCAGTTGAACAAATTCCCAACATCGATGAGGCCGTTAAGAAATCCCTCACGACGACGCTGTCCACAGAGGCTCAGATATTACGAGGGAAAGAAGATGACAAAACTCAGGTTCAAAAATTGCTCAAGACAACCCCGGCCATTCTCGACGAACCTTCTCCGATGCCCTGGAACCAGTTATCGGAGTCTGAAGCGAAGCTTATATCACGAGTCGTTGAGAATATCAAACAAGATTTTGCGACCAAATCTATCAAGTATTGGTCCATCCATTTTGCAGATCTTTTTGATAAATTCTTTGTAGCAAGCAGAATTGGGAGGATCGCGCTGGTCTATAATAGTTGCTCTACCAGTTTGAAGCAACGCCTCCTGGCGCTGGATGTTGGTAACGAAGCCAGGAAAGACTCCTACTCCTACCTAAGCCGTATTGGTGTAAACTGCCCCAAAATCAAAATTTGGGTTATATGTCGATATATCCGTGCGTTTGTGCGTTATCTTTTCTTTATGTGTGTTTTCAATTGAAAAATATCAATTTATTTTGCAAAAACGTGCGTTCTTGCGCCGCGGAAAAACGCATGAAAATGACATTAGAAAAAAAATTGGATAATGTG